GCAGCAGAGGGCTTCTGTCCTTGCAGGTTGCCCCCTCAGCAGGCAGTTTGGTTAATGCTTTACAGCAAGAGACCCCCTGTCAGAAGGGGTGGCCCTCCCCTTGTGTTTTCCTGCACTTTTACTTGCATTACTGCAAGGCAGGAACAGGGAACTGAAACCACAAGTTGGAAAAGGGAATAAGACATCCTTTTCGGCAGCAGTACAGTCTTACTTCAGCTTAAGCTAACATGGAAATGACACCCTCCACATCAATACAAGGTTATTCCCAGATACTTAGCAGAATTGGTCCATTTGAGCTATGACCCTGTTTGTAGGGGGAAGGTCACATCCTAACGCTATGAAGTTCAGGTTTTGATCTGTTCATTACTGGTAACATGCTGGTTTATGACTCTTTTGCCAACTATCTTCCATCAAGCACGTTCTATTCATGCCTAACCAAAGTACCAATATTTCATTGCCGCCACAGCGCTGAAGTCCCTGTTACTGTCAGGGGCTGCTGAGCATGTTGACACTAATGGAGTTCATCACAGTCCCATCTGAAATTCAGCAATTCCCATGCACAGGGGGATTGCTAGGACTGCCTGGATGAGAGGTAACTATCAAAGCCCACTGCTGGATCAAGATTACTCTGTGCTGGAAGCAATCTCAGCTGCTGGCTGAAGATCATTTTGTGCTGCTTGCGAGGAGGAGGGGGATTTATTGGGAAGCTGTATATTTTGAGCATTTGGACAGAACAGAGAGAGAGAGACTGTAAAAGAGACATCATAAAATCATATCGTTATTAAGCAATTAGGAGTAATTGATTACCTACAAGAAGAGCCACTAAACCATTTTAGGAGCCTCTGTTTTCAATTCACTTGTATCTGGCAATCAAAAGGTATAATACATCTGTGTGGGGGCATGATTGACAGAGTGACTTGCATTACGACTTGCTGGAATAGCATAAATGTTTGATCTAGGCCTAGTTTACCTGTGTTAAATATAGTAAAATATATGACTTTGTGGAATCGGTGGCAAGCACTCCATGCTGATTGGGCACAAACTCTTTGTATCTCAGAAGACCCCCTGAGCCTGAAACCACAAACCGGTACCATTTGCCCTTGTGAAAAGGCAAACAGCACAGTGTATTTGAGGTGGATCTGCCCTGGATCCCCATGGTTTCCCAGAAATGCACTTATCTCATCCCTGGAGCCTGTTTTGGGGAAATAAATTTACTTAAAATGTGTGGTAAGGATTTAAAAAATGCAGATAAATTATAAAATGCTCTGTGTCACAAACTAGGACAGGTGGCTGGAGTATATTTCCCAGAACATTTGGGATTCAAATACATATCTGATGAGGTCTGCAGAGGTATTACAGTGAGCTGAAACCCACAGAAATAGATTACAAACTATTTCAGAAAACCCTCTTAAATACATAATCAGTTTCTTTAGGAAGCCAGTGCTTCCAAAAATCTTGCCCACTTCTCATATCTACAAATACCTATACATTGCAGGAAACAGTTCCAAGGCAAAGGAAAGGAAATTTGTGTAACTCAATTCGTTCCCATAAGTGATTTGGATGAGCACAGTGAGTTTTATTGTCTGATCCATTACTGGTAAATAGTTGAGCTCCAGCCTTCAGCATAATGAAGTGTTTTTGAAATCTTCCAGCCCATCCCTATTTATAAGAACATTATTTTTAAAATTTTTTATTCTCTTCTTTTAAAAAAAAATAATCACTACAGTTTTTCCTTTGCAAAAGGATCAATATAACATTACAAATAATAATTGCATAAATGAGACCATGACAGTGAATGCAAATACAGAGTCACTTAAAGTGATTTTGTTCCACTTGATTGTATTGGTTTGTTAGATTTATTATTGGTTTACAACATTTTGGCTTCATTTCTCTCTCTTCAGTTACCGTGGCATCAAAAGGTTCCCCTCCCCTACCATTACATCATTAGCATCCTCCAGAAAACTCTAATGTACAAGCTCTGCCATCAAATTAATGTCTAGTGACAGATAATAGCAATGAGTAGCTAATTACTAATCCTTATAATTGTGGCTTGGAAAACTGACTGCTGAGCTAAGCCATGTGGCCCAAATCTATAGAGATACAGATTTCTTTGCCTCCAACAGCCGGTGAGCACTGAGCAAGACAACTATAGAATAGATTTTTTTTTCAAAATCTTTCTTGGTCGTTATGCTGGGGGGAGAGCAGAAAGATCTGCAAAATCATAATTGTTTTAGTAGCTTAACTAATTGTAAGAGGGAATAAAATCCTGGATTCCTGCTGATTTCAGTCTTCGTTGAGGATCTGTGATCTTGGATGGATCTGGGATGGAAAGTGGCACTGAGCTGACTCTTTCAGTGAGTGTCAGATCTAGCAGGATCCTGCCTGATACTGCAGAGAGTAGAAGAAGTAAAGACCTAATTCAGGTGAGGCCCTTCAGCTCAGCCACCAGCCAAAGCCAAAAATGGAGAAGAACAGCAAGGCAGAGGGTATTGCCTGATTTATAGGGACAGCTTTGACCGGTGTAACTCTAACACTGGGACTATGCTGCTCCCAACCCAAACCACAAGTTGGCCTAAGCACAGAGGAAACAGAAAAAAAATTAGGGTACAAAACATTTCTATGTTGAATGTTTACCTTAGTTGCGGGGGAGACAAGTTAATAGACCATTCTTACTCGAAAGACTTTTTGTTTAGTTTTGTCATCAAAGGCACATCCTCCTGGTTAGGTTCTTGCTAGTGTTTATACAAAAAAAAAATTACTTTAGTCTTGTCAGTAAATATGGGGATGGGATTTTTCCATGCTGCAAGGGTGCCTCATAAACTTGTTTGTACTTACTTGTTTGCAGAAAGGAAGGACACTATCTCAGCTGACATAGCTTAGTCATTTCCAAAAGTAAGACAGAAATTCCAGAAACCTTTCTCTGAAAAGCTCTGTCATGTTAGTGCTCGTGAACCAACTTTGTCCTGTCCATTGTGTGTAAAAGGCTTTTTAATGCCTAACCTGCATGGGACTTGAGAAAAAGCACCTCTGATAAGATGGTGAGGTGGAGAACCACCCCACCTGGATGGGCCATAGTAGCAATGGTGTCATATAAGGCTTTCGTTTAGAAGGTGACCCTGGGCTTTTCAGCATGACTTCACTTCTTGGCTAACTCTCCAGCTTTACTTCACTGTTTGAATAATGTTAAGCCGTAATGACTGGTGTCTGGCTTTTTCCTCACACAGTATTGCTCTTGCTGACTAAATGTCCAGAAGACAAGTTTCCTTCCTCCCTCACCTTATTGTGTTGCACTTGGCAAGGTTACTTTTTAAAGTCCAGGGTCTGCTCAACACCTTTCCTAGGAACTACAGGAGTGCCACTCAAGAAGGAATAGATCTATTGATGCCTTATGTAAAAACGTTGCAGAGAGAGCATCTCACATAGAGATGCTTTTGTAGTCTTTGTGCAATGAGGGATAAAACATAACTCCTTTGTCTCCCTAGGTAATGGCAGCTTTTAGGTAACACAGCACTCCTGGAGGGGGGGGTGAAGGGGAGGGGGGCAAAGGTTTGTTTCTCGTATTTTAGTATGAATTTCCAAGGTAAGTATGCTTTGCTTGGTGTAAAGTTAAACTTTTTTCTTAAAAGGAAATTGACATATCTTCACACCATCAAAGTTACATCTGAATATTGTGGCACTGAGGCTCTGTGACACTGAAGTGTATCATCTGATTGTTGAAGTTTGCAACCTGCTGGAAAAGGCAGCCTGTAGTGTAGGAAATAGAGAGGAGGATTTGGAAAGTTACACAGTGAAGGGGTTTGATTCCAAAATCTCAGTTACCTCAGAGTGATACCATACCGCACTCTTTAATTCATTGTCACTTAAGTTACCCTTAAAACTGTGTTTTTAACTTGATTTCTGAGATAATTGCAAAACTAAGTGTGTCTATTTTTAATATACTTCCTCCCACCAAAGAAATCCCTCAAGAATGGGAAGTAGCACCTGTTTATAGGAGAAATTAGTGCAGATTGCAGTAACGCTACATGCCAGACTACTGCATAAAGCTTGCTTGAGTCTCACAAATTGATAGCGACTTGTAACTCAGTGGCCTCTGAAGGTCTCTGAAGTGACACACAGCTTTATGGCAGGATTACCAAAGCATTCTCAAATTTCTTGGTACGAGAGATAGAAAAAGAAGTATATTATTCTCCACTATCTGTGACTTATAACATATCAGACAATAGTATGTGATTTTTATTATGAAGAGTTGATTGTGGGCCAATCAAGCTCTATTATGCTGTACTGGACACCAGCATGTATAAGAAACTGTGGAAAGGATTCTGGATAAAGGAATGCAAATAGGCATACAGAAGCAAAACAGAAATAACAATGGGGCACATAGAAACAAGATGAAACATGTGCAACAGTAATTTCTAGGAATCTGCTCATCTTACAAAGATCAGAAGAGAGAACATCCTGCCATCTGTGTGGCCTGAGCCAATGTGCCTTTGTGGGTCACACTGAAAGCTTGGGGTCAAAAATCAGGCACTGCATGCTTCTGGTCTTTCTATTGCACATGTTACTTTGTCAATTTTTAACAAAAGAACTTCCACAATTTCACTGTGCATCAGCTGCTATCATGGGGCCAGGATTCATGCTGGAGGGGAGCTTAAGGTGGTACGGTGCCCAGCCATCTGCCAAGAGAAGCACGCTGGCTAAGGCAGCAGAACGGGCAGCACCTCTGCTCCTCACCCACTGCAGTGTGTTGCTCAAAACCTGTGAGCAAGCTGAAACCAGCAGTGATTTACATCAGTTTGGGGTTTTGAACTGCTGGGGCTCTGGGAAAAATGCACTGCCTCTGCCAGTGGGACAGTAACCTCTAGTAGAGGCACAAGCATAGGTGCCAACAAGCACAGCCACCACAATCTCCTGAGACCACAAGGCAGAGTGTGAGGAACCGACAGAGAGACAAGATGTCTCAAAGCTTGCTTGGCCTAATTCTCATGTGTTCTACTCCATAGGCGCTGGCCCAAGACCCACAGGGAGCAGCAGGAGTGACTGCGGTACCAAGATGGGGGACAGGGTATGAGAAGAACATCTCAAGGTATTGTAACTAGGTTGGAAACCAAAAGCCCCAGGGGCAGGGACACACAGACACATACACATGTTCTCCTCGCAGGCTGAGTGGATGTGCTGGTGCTGCCAGTGAACTCCAGACAGCAAACTTACGCTCAGGGAAAGCAAGCAGACATGGCACAGGTCATCTGGCCAAGGAACAATTGCAATCTGCTCCAGGAAGGACCCTGCAGTCCTCCAGCAACATATGTTCATCCTCGGTTTATTTTGCTCATTTAGGCTGTGCTATGCTATAAAAGTAGCACTGCTATCCATAACTAGCTGTGAATTACCATACAGATAACCTCTGACTGAAGCTGGCATAGCAACGGAGCAGGAGGCAGGATGCTGCTACAGCTGCAACAGAAGAGGGAGGCAGAAGAGAGGAGACTGTGCTGAAGTCTGGTTTCTTCACCATTAGGTGCTCTAGGCAGTCACAGCAAATCTGGCTGTGCTGCTTACCCATTACTTCTCTACGTCCTCAAGCTGATTTTAAAGGCAGCATTTGGGAAGCAGCTTGTGGTCATGTGTGATTAAAAGGAACAGTGGGTCATGCATTCACGCACACCACCAGCAGAGGAAAGGGTGCATGTACGCTCTGAACTGAATGTTTCCTTTTCTTACATGGCCACAGTAATGTGCATGAATAATTCCCTACTGGGGAAAATAAAGAAAGGAGCAAGCTCTCCCAGACTGCAAAGCATGGCAGTTCTGTAACGAAATTGCCGGCAGAGACAGTCCTTGAACACCCCCTGGAGACATGTGCCTAATGGAGGGAGAGAATTCTTGCAACATTCTAGGACAGGGTGGGAAATCTCACAAAACATGCACTGGGTCCCCTCAACCTTTGGACACCGTGTTTCTCCAAAGCCAGGTTGTAGCGTGGCATTTGGATGGTCACCCAAGGTCACACCCTTGTTGATAGGCAAAGTCTCTGCGGGGTTTCAGACCAATCTGCCTAACAGCAGTGGGGTGGCCAAAAATGTTCTGTGTGAGGCTGCTTATCTGCAAGCTGTTCTTTCTGTCTCTTAGTCAGCAACACTGAAATGCAGCTTCTTTTCTCATAGAGGTTTCAAAGGGATATTGGCAATCTGAGATGTATGGTAGCAAGTTGCTTTAGCGCAAAATCCTTTTTACCATCTTTAAAAGAGGAAAGTTGATCAGACTTAGTTTATGGCATGTTTTTCTGGACCACGGACTATCATCGCCTCTGTCAATTTGACAGCGTGTCCTTCTCTTCTACGAGATATTTGCCAACAACAAACAGCCTAGCGCTCCCTCTGCATGAAGCAGGTAGGACCCTGTTCCTCCCAGCTACAAGCCCAAACGATGCTCATTTAATGATTATAGGTAGATCTTAAAACACTGACAATTTTAGGGGGAAAAATCAGCATGTAGTTGCTGTTATGGAGACAGGTCAATCTGTAGCTGAACCATTTTCTCCTCCACAGAACATCTCAATTTCTTACAGCACGATACCTCCATCTGGGATGTGGACTGAGGGCGGCTCAGATTAACTAGGTTGTCTATGCCCTGGAAGCAACTGAACGGTGGTAGTTCATCTCCAGCTGCTGTGGTAGAAACAAAGAATCCTTTCATTACCTGCAGAGCTTTTGCATATATGTCTCCTTGTGCCTGGCTCTCATTTAGAGTCAGGCTTCTTTATGTTGCTGCACCTACTCATAGGAAACTGAAATTTCGCTTGCAACCACTTTTAAGGTAGTTTTGTGCTGTCAGAGAGGTTTCAGAAGTTAGTAGCAACAGGGCAAAAGCTAAAAGTGACTTTTGCAGCACCTAATTTACAAGAACCTCTCTGTGTTGGAGGAGAGACTTGTGCGCTTATCCTTCCTGTACTATTGAGGTAATAGCATCTACTCTAGCCTGACTGGGGAGCAGCAAATCACCTACAATCAACCAATTTTACATCCTGCTGCATCAGCCAAGTCAGCCAATGCCTTAAGCACTTAACAGGGACTACAGGGCAGAAGCTCTGTCTGCTGTCTAGAACATTACCATGGGGAAAGGCACCTTATATCCATGTTTTATTAAAGAAAAACCCAGAGCAGAGCAGGCGCTACTCACTGGTAGGGTTTTATTGGGTTTTATATGTTTGTTTATTTTTGCAGTTACTGCATAAAACACAGTAGCAGACCGGAGAGTCCTCATGAGTCAAAGGCATCCTCTCAGCTGAATGCCCCATTGACACTATAGATGTTTGTGTCCACCCCATTTCAGTTAACTCTTTTCCAGCAAGGTGTCACAACTTCCACATGGGGGATGCAGCCTGCTGATTAAGATGCTCTTTTTGGAAACCGAATCCCTGAAGGCAGTTGTTCCACCCCTAAGCAAACACTGTGACCCCTATTTCTTGGAAAAGTCTAGGGACACCTGGGTTCGATGTCAGCTGCTGGTTTTTGCACAATGACAACTGGAGGGAGCTCATCCTTTCCCACAGGTAGAAGCACCCTCAGCTCCTGGATTTCACCAGGTTTCAGCAGAAAAAAAGTGCACAATCATCTAGACCAGCCAAGGGAGGAGCACCTTGTAACATGAGGCAATGCCCAGTGCATGAGCAATTTTTCGTGTCAGACAGGGTAGATCCAGGCACCTCCAAGGCAGTGAGAGCCAGGGCATCAGAGGTATTATTTTGGCTGTAGCTGGAATTTAAGTGCTGAAGTTTATGTCCATTTTCATTTGTTGGATAAAATGCAAACCTGGTTCCTGTTCCCTTTTGGATAAGTGTGCATCAAAGCACTACCTTGCGTGTAGTCAGACTTTTGTGTGAAACGCATCCACGAAATATGAGTAAGTGGTGAACTGTGTGCCTAGGAACTAAAATAGTGAAAGTGCCCTATAGGCATAGCTTAAAATGAGTTACCCTCCTTCAATGCTTGCAATATGCACATAATCAGGTATTCTTCATTTTCTGTTACAAGATTTCCTTGGTTTAATTTCCTCTTTGCTGTTGAAACCTATTAAAAGAAAATGATGGAGCAAGCAACTAGAACTTATAGGTGTAACATTCAGTTGTTTCCATAATCACAAGAAAATAAAGTCCGATGGATCATGTAATAGAAAAATGAAGAAAAGTATTTGCTTAATGAATATAAGACAGCGTTAATGACAATATTTTTTGTTGCTGGCACTTTATAATGTTATGGGGACTGCATTATGCACGATATAATTCTAGTGTGTGTGTTTTTTAATACACTTTTAATGAAGAAATGTAGGTCTCATGGCTTTAAATGAGTGCACTTTTCACTTGTAGATAGAAAGAAGAGGGAGGAAATGGCTTGGAGAAAAGAAGAAAAGAAAAATAAGCATCTTCTATCAGAAAGGGAAGACAATAAAAGGACCTTTTATGGAATGAGACATGTGGGGCTTCCATGTCCTTTTCCACCAGCCACACATAGATCTCTGCGTAGCCAACACAGCCTCAAAAGAAAAGACCTTGTAGTTCTGAAATCTAGTTTCAAATACTTATGAGTGAGAACATATTCAGCAGCTGTTGCTTCTTGAAAGGTGCTCTTACAGATCCTTTTGCAACTGTATTGTCCATTGGTCATATTCCTGCAGATGTAGGGTTCCTGAGTGAATGCATATACCCATGGCCATTTGCAAGCATAAGGTAGCTGCTTCTAATTTTTTCCTTTGGGCTGATGTAAGTGGAAAATTGAAACAAAAATGTTTGCTGGAATTTCTTAATAAGGTTCAAAGGGATTTTAGTTATAAATGATATTTTGAATGTAAAAAAGATCTAGACCAAAAGCTGCTCTTTTTTAGTAGCTTCTTTGTCATTGCTATGAACTTTACCACAGGGGGTATACATACAGAAGTGGAAAATTCATAGTACATTGCCCTCTCTGTTGGAACTGTTGTCTTTCATTATATAAATAACTGAAATGAACTGTTGAAAGATGGGATGGATAGAGAAGACCATCTTTTTCTTTTAATGTAATCCTTTTTCCTTTAGTTCCTGTTACACATGAAAACTATGTAGGTTAAAATCCTTTCTGAATCTTTTCCCAGAAATAGCAATGACAAGTTGCTTTTTTGTGTCTTGGTCACCCCAGCTGTGTAATAAAGCAGAATTCTGCTGCAATTCATATTCTGTAACTCTCATGCTAATTAATCCCAATCCCAAACAAAGCTAAGTAGAGAGAGAGAAGCAATGAGTTAAAATAATAAAGCTAATACTTATGCAAATGGGAAAGAACATTCCCCAGTAGCTGGCAGGGTTGGCATACAGCTCATTTTTTCTCCTCTATATGTCCCTTTTTGCATCCCTGTTTTATTCCTCTTCTCATTTCTTCCAGAAATCCTTTGCTGTGAAGCAAAGCACAAGAACAACTGTTCAAGCACATTGACTGTGTGCATGAAGTAAACCTGATGCTCATATGGGGATGCTTCACTGTGCCATGGTACATGATGGCACCTGCCTATCTTGGTCAGGAAACTCCTAGCGAGCAGGATGATTTGGTACAAACAAATGTGTGTTATGCTCAACCCCAACCGTATCTGTGAGTCTTCCCTGGGAAGTAAAAAGGAAATGTCTGTGTTTACTATGTTTTTTTTTTCCTCTTTTACAGACCAAAGAGGCTCTGCAGGTGAAATCACGAAGGGCTACGCTTGAACGGATAGCACAAGCCTAGGAGACCAAGCTGGTGTTCCCAGACCTCAGGGAGACTCCTCAGCACCCTGTCTTCAGGGTAATTTCATTTGGATCTCCTCCTTCCTTCCACCCTTTATGTCGGGATTTAAGGCTGTTCAGGTAATGGACACCCAGGCAATAAAACAGAACTAAAAAAGCTTTCTACAGTGAGATTGTTTGAGGTTTGGCCCTTTCTGTTTGTTCTTACAAAGCTATCCAAGGCACTGCACCTGCAACCTTCTGTGATGTATCTCACCTGGGCAAAAAAAGTGGCAACACCCTGTGTGGATAAAGGGTCCATCTATTTTAAAGACAGAGGAAATCTGGACACCAGAGTTTTAAATAAGTAAATTCGTAGCCAAAGTGCCTTACAATTTAAATTCTAAGTACTTTGATTCAAATCAGGCAATCCAACGAAAAAAGTCTAGCCCAAATTTATTGATACCATAAAGCCAGTGTCACCCCAACAGAAAAGTCCCTACCCCAGAGAACTGAATGCAGAAACAGTGTCCTTGGCATGTGTGTGTGTGGTGCACAGGGCATGGGGGCTGGATCACAGCTGCTGACACTGCAGTATAGCACTTAAAAAATAATTGGAGCAGGTCTCTGTCACATAGCTCTGCTTAGTGCCCACTTGCTGCAGTCATTATAACTGATGGAAGTACAAACTAATGGTCAACTGAAGGAACACGTGGACAGAAGAGATCTTTGTCTTGCAATTTTTGGGAACCCAGCAAACCCAGCTTCTCCTATCTTGCAAATGACAGACAGGATATTTCCAAATGTAATGGACTTAAAATGTCAGGTGTAATCAAGGGTGAGACTGTGAATGCAAATGAACTGTTTTGATAAGTGCAATCTAAATACCAAAGCGAAATTACAGCTACCCTGTCACTGCAGTTCTGCCGTGTGAGGTGAAATAGCACACAATCCTGGGAGGTGAGCAGAGGATGCGCATCTTCTCCCTGCAGTTGGGGCACCAGCAACCCCTGAAACCAGGCAGAGCAAAGGGTTGCTGTTAGGTATGGTTATCTGAGAAACGAGGGAAAGCTGTGATAAAAGTGCAGGGCAATTGAACTGGAAAAAAAAAAAGCAACAAACAACTTCCTGATGTTTTCTTTAATTACTGGTTCTGTCTTCTCAAAATATTGTGTAGTGTGCCTTCACTGGATGCAAGACATCTTCCATCTGAACAACAGATCGGTAGTTGCAGATCCTACAAGAGTAGCCCTACTGCAGAAGCAGGCTCTCTGGTCCTTCTGCATGATGTGCCCCAGCTGTTCTCCAGCGCCTGCCTGTGTCTTTGTGGCATCACTGAATAACTCAAGCTGTGCTCTGGAGATTGCCTTCTCCCCTACTACCACTTCGAAATTACTAATACTTTATTTTGCTTTAGAAAGACAATCTTTCAGAAAAGCAGAGATGGAGACTTTTAAATTATTCAACCACTATGCAAATAGTAACTAATTTTTGCAATGCCCTGGTGAGGTAGGTAATTATATGTTATCCTTTCTGACAGGCAGAGACATTACATTTGATTCACTGACTCCAGACCACAGGCGAACTTCGAACTAAATTTTCCTGGGCTCAGGTGAGATTTTGGGTAAACCTCTAGATTGATCAGAGTGCTCTTTTTCTTTTCCCATTTTTGTCTCATAAAGAAACCAGGCTTGGAAGAATATCCCTTGACTGAGCTGCTAGAATATGTTCATAAATGATTCACTTGAACCTTACACAGTCAAAAATGACACTGAAAGTACCATGGAAATAGATTTTTGAGGCTAGATGAGTCACCTGGGTTTCATTACAAGTAATGACAAAAGCCGATTCTGTTACTCACCCAAATTTCATCCTTGCTGCCTAAAATGTTATTGGTACATCGTCTACGAGTGATCTGGCTGGATCAGTCCAGCTATCTTTCTGGTTTAGGGTTTTGCCGTAGAGACACTGTGGTTTTGGTGTGTTAGAACTGTGTAAACCTGGAGCAATCAGCATCAATGTTAGGTACAAGTCCTCAGTAATCCAAAAATGTCTTGTGGTCTGAAACAGGTTTTGTATCTCTTCCAAAATCTGCCACCTACAACAGCTCAATTATCTTGTGAATGACTCACTGAGTTCTTGTGGCAGTGAGCTCCCATCCTAATTAAAGGGAACAACAACTTGAACTCTTTCCTCGCATAGGTTTCCTGTCCCCTTTCCACCTTCTCTCTGCCATTCCTTAACTTACTTCCCTTTTGACTTGTTCCCACCTGTTTGGGCCTGTGCTATCCTGTCCCACTCCTCACGTTTGCATGCTCGCCATCACTCTGAACCCTTTCTGCATGATTTTAGGTGACCAGAAGAGTGCACAGTGCCCCAAGGGCAGCGACAAAGGGGTTACACAGCAGCACTATGAAAAAAGCACCGCTGCTTCTCCGTCCTGACATTTTGCTAAACTGCTGATCTGTAGACCATAGGTGGGCTCTCGCTGTCAAATTGTACTTGCTGATGAAGTCCATCAACCATGCTATTTGATCTCTGAGTACCCTGAGACTGCCACCTTCATCCCTGAGCACATCCTACTCCAATGCTTAATTACCACTACAGGCATCATCTTCACCTTCAAAACAAAGCAAGAATCATACTCATAAAGAAATACGGCAACTGCACAAAACCTTGGTTCTGAAAAGTACTCCCAGGCCCATCCTTACAAAAACTTCATCACTATAAAACTCTTGAATATTTCTGAAACAACTTTTACTGTTTCTTGACAGGAATTTACAGTTTTTACATGCTTTGAATGCTCATTTTTGAAAAAACAGTAGTTCCTAATGAAGTAATGTACAATCTGACAGCAAATCCTTGCCTCAAACATCCTGTAAAAGATCTCTTTATCTTGATTTTTTAAAGATGCAGAATATGACACATGGGAAGATGAAGGAATTTGACGAAAGTCACTCAAAGTCTACTACAACAAATGAGAATTGAACTAAGAACTGTAATCTCCTTCTGCTTTTATGATATGCTGTTCGCTAAGCTTCTTGGTAGCTATGCTATAGTTCTGCTTGCTTATATTTTAAATAGTGTTTAAAATGTAGAAATCAATTTTTCTAGCGATGCATGCATGCGTGTACAAGCAGGTATGACATATCTCCTTAGTCTTAATTCCATGTTAATGCACATAGAAAACTGCCATCTGCTAACTAGTCAGGTATGGAACTGTGATTTTTTTGCTACAACGGGGGGTAGGGTTTATATTCACAGCCAGTGTACAGTGAGATGTGCTCTTGCTTAGGATCCTTTGTCCTAGATCTCTAAAATGGAGGATAGAGACTTCCACTCCAGTATGGCAAGGCTTTTCCCCCTATTCTAAAAACGCAAACACAAGTTCAGTTTAGGATGGCAGTCTTATCAAATAGATCTAAGCCATCCTTCTCCTGTTTTCAGTTCCCATTGTCAAAATGGGATCAAGGATCTGCCTATGATGTAACTACCAACAAGTCAATACGGTTAAATATTAATTTTAAAATTCAACAGAACATGTGGGTGATTATAATAATTCAGGGCTCTAGGAGCACAGCAAAGAGAGGACCTCAAGAGAGGCCCCACATAGGAAAACTGAACTCATTTACCTGGTTTTACAGAAACTACTTCAATACATTTGCTAATTTAATAAACACTCTTTGCTCCTGCTGGGTGGATTCAGTGCTCACCACAGGTGCTATTTACCTCTGAAGTGCACGATGACTACCAATCAGACTTAGGGAGAGAGGTGCATTTTTCAATAACAGAGCAGTGTCTGAACGTGTCAGCAACTCATTTCTCTTCATTCCATATTTAAGTCTGGTAATGCTAACGCTGAAAACAAAGATTCAGTTAATAGATTTAGAGGACTTTGCTAAGACAAGTAAGAACATCTCAACCAAATGCTCTGTTACGTCTCCAACCATGGACTCATCAGCTCTTTGGAAGGTGTTTGTCCCCAATACAGTTTTTTTCCAGTAAGGGGTTTACACATCTTGTCTTTAAATGCATTCTCTCGCATGTACTGCCAATATCTGGGCATCCCTGTGAGTGTGCACTTGGTACAAGATCTCTCTCTGGACACAGGTCCCAGGACCATATGCAAAACTGGGAGCATCAGCTGTGAGAAAGGATCGCAGGGTCCTTGTTCTCGTTATCAGTGAATTTTATCCCGGCCAGAGGAGAAACGGAAAGCAGTACATAAAATTGCCGTGATTAATGAGGAGAAGCAAAAAGTAAAGTATCTTGAGTATTATGAAAAAGATAGAAATCCCATTTCAAGAACATTTGTAGAAAAGATAATCATGCTATGCAGGTTTGATAGGTCCAGCCTTGTGCAGAGTTACACCAGCAGAATGTGGTATTTTTGTGGCTTTAGCCACTTACATAGATCTAACGTGGCCCAGGCCAGAAAACTGAGGAGCTTTGTTTTGTTTAAAAAATTGGGAGTTTGAAACTTTCCATTCTGGACAGTGTGAAAAGAAAACCCTTTTGCTTAGAAAAGAGAACGTGGGTAAGAAAGTATGAGCATCTCCACCTGAGTACATACAATAATGTGGAAATTACTCTGTGGACAAATCAGCTGAATGTGATGGTAACACAATGGTCTGGCTGTGCTCCCCATGACTTAAGCAGCTTCTTAGACAAACAGATTTATGAAGAAATATCTTCTACATTTCATGAAGAGTGCTGTAATCCCTGAGTGCTGGTTGGTATCTTTCACACCTGGAATCTATAGTAAGCCCAGATCAATATACTGAGTCATATGAACCTTTCCAAGAAAAGTTTCTGTTTCACCTGACAGGTTTTCTTGGGAAAGACTTAGAAAATAACTCCATACTAGTATTGATATGAGAATGCCCTCTGTTTTGGTGGCTTATTTGCATAGACCACAAAAGAGCAAACAGGTTTTTTTCCAACTGCTTTTTCTGATTCTGCTTAGACTTTATACACAAGCAGTGGCTGAGAAATTCCTTGTGCTATACTCCCTCTCTGGAGAGAGGATTTTTTTCCAAATCTGAGCTGCTCCTGAAAGCAGATGAGCAACCAAACCTGGAAAATACTGAAATGTTGGCCCTAAAAAGAAAAATCTTTTACTAACATACAATTGCTCTAAATACCTGAAAATCTGTCAAGAGAAGTATATAGTCTCCTGACAAGTCCACCTTACTTAGAATGGCATTGAAAAAGGATGACCCGAAAGCAGAGTCCCATCGCTCTGTCATGAGTGGTCCTACTGTTCTATGAGCTGTGATTTACAGTGGTTTTGTAGCATCTTCCAAAATCTGCACAGGTTGTTTTCTAACATGCAAACAAAAGTGAGACCTACATAAATGTGATGGTGAACTTGAGGTGGCATTTGTCAATAAAACATAGGATTCGCAAAAAAAGATGACTTCTAGATACTGTCACAAAAATACAGGTTTTCCTCCTATTTATGTTCCTAATTGTTATGCCCAAAATAAGGCTCCAAGATCAGATGGCTGAGGTTAATGTGGATAATAGCTGGTGGGTGAGAATATGACACAGGGGAAAGAAGGGGGGAAAGTAACTGTGAAAAAGAGTGGAACTGTTTGAGAAATAGAAGTGCAAGTAACCTAGGAAGAACAGTGAAAGTAGTAAAGAACTGCAGAAATACCAAAGTAGGCTTTGGAGTAATCTCTAAAATCCTCTTTGTCTAAAGCAGATAAAGGGCTTGAAGAGGGTATTTCACAATCTCTCTGCAAGTTCTTGGTCTCAAATCTAAGGAACAGAAGGAACGCATTTTCCTCACAAGCTGAAGGGAATGAAGTGAATAAGGAACAGCAACTTGGCCATCATGGAGGGACTGCTGGTTAGGCCCCAAAATAAATGAAAATAGATTGTTTACCACCTACACAAGAACAGAAGGTAAGACTGCTTCTCATATAGAAGTCAAGGCTCAGATGTTACAACTCTGCAGCTGTGGTGAGTGATGCAGAATTAGAATGTGCTTGTAGAAAAACTATTAACAATTGCCAACTGTTTCAAAGCCTTCTCTCTCCCCTTCTCTTTCATGAATGGTTCTTAATTAGACTACTCTTTAAATGTGGTTACCAGTTAATGAGAACCTTCAAAGGAAAACAGGGTTAAATTGACAATGCCTATTTTTTTTCCTTTTTAATCCTTTGTGCCAAACTGATGTTTTCCCTACTTTCATCACTAATTTCAGAAAAGTTAGTTGTCGCAGAATGAGTATCTGCAGACAAACAAGAAGACACAGTTTGGTGTAAACCACACCCAGCCAGGTTTTCATTCTCAGCCGCTCCATGTGGGTATGTTAGTGCAGGGAAATAAGCAAATCTTACCATAGCCAGAGTTCATAACAGAGCTGTAAGTATTTATCTCTCATCCCTTTAAGTGCACTTTCCCAATAACGCAAATGCAGAGCTACCTACCAGCCTGGTGCACATTTTTATGAAAAATGATGTTTACAATGCCCTTACTGCTAATATATGAATTACTTTAGCTACTTTAAACAAGTGTGGATTGGAGCTTTACTGACTAAAGCACACAGCGCAGTGAAAAGGAGCTTTTTCCCCTGGGGGAATTTTGATCGAGGGAAGCCCT